TGTTTCTTATGTTGGGATTCCATCATGTTCCTCAGCTCCTCTCTAGATTTATTAATCATGTCTTGCAGCAGTGGGATGGTGGCTCAGAAGCCCCTACCTCTCGGCCGGGAGCAGCGGGACTGAGTACCTTGGTCTGGTGGTCTGATGTCCTCTGCATCTTTGTAGTGTGGAACCAGGTGGCTGCCTGTCTGTAGCGGGGTCTACCATTCTGTTTTGATAGAACCTTTTTTTTTTGGTACTGGGGATCGAACTCAGGACCTTGCACTTGCGAGGCAGGCACCGGAACCACTCAGGTAAAGCCCTGGCCCTACCATTCTGTTTTAGCAATAAATGGGATATAGCAAAAGACTTTTTTTCCTCTTGGTACAGGTAAATTGTATATTCATATGAATATAATTATAAAGCAGTATTTTATATAATAGCAATGGCCATATTCTGGGCATGCCGTGTGAAGTATTTGTATAAAAATTTTCTGTTCAATTAAATGGCTGCTTTTTCTCTTTTCTATTGTGAGAATTTTATTTTTTTTGAAATGGACAGCAGTCCAGTTAAATAGATCTCTTCTTGGGCTGGGGATTTAGCTCAGTGGTTCTGCCGCCTGCCTTGCAAGCACAAGGTCCCTAGTTTGATCCCTGGTACCACAAAAAAAAAAAAAAAAAGAGAAAGAAAAAAAAGATCTTTTATTGCTTCAGTCATGGAAATCCAGTTATATTGATCTGGAGCTTAGCGCTCTTTTCTCATGAGATAAGTTAACTGGAAATTCCTTTTCCATTGCAGGAGAGAGGGGGCAGATATAAGCTTAACCATATATGTCAATTTGTTAGCATATTCTTATATGCGATTTCAAAAGTATTTCTGAGGTCACAGTTTTAAGGCTTGATATTTAATGGTGAAAAAGGAATGTTTCAGAAAATGTTTGCTTGTAACCTACCATTTACATATAAAACAAAGTTCAAGAAAATGAAATATTTGTTTGAATAACCAAAGGGTCTGTCACCATCAGAGCACAAGTGACCAATGCATGTCACAAATCATTTATTTCAAAACATAAGACAAATACATATGTCACTTTGGCAGCAAAAATTGTAGTTCGTGAAAAATCAGTTTTAAAATAGAAATTTATCAACTGTTTTATGCTTGTATTATGCTTTCAACATTCTTGTTTTATATGTATAGTTAAGTATACATAAAATATTTGAACGTCCTGTATGAATTTGAGGATGAAATATAGTTGTACATTTACTTATATAACCTATTAGTTTTGTTTTTGGAATTAAATGTTGTTGTCATTAGTAACTAAAGACAGACCCTGAGGCTTCACTAATCTACAGCCTCATTTTTTCTTTCTTTTTTTTTTTGCTACAGGGAATTGAACTCGGTTCCTTGCGCTTGCGCAGCAGGCTACAGCCTCATTTTTTTCAACCAGACAAATGGCGTACTTACTATATGCTTAGCACTAAACTAGGTACTTAGAAGTAAGGTGGGGTAATGATATAAAACAGCTTCAGTATTCCATGATCTTAGCTGCTGAGTTAAGTTATTTGCACACTAAAAAAAATGTGGTATTATCTAATTCAGTGTCAGAATGAGTTATTTCAGAGTTCAGAGACCTATGCCATCCATTATCTCAGAGCTGTTTGACTGCAGGCTTGAGCATAACAAACATTTCAGAGTAGCAGTAATCATGTAGATTCAGTATGTGTTTCAAAGAGATTCAGGTATTCTTGTGTCAAAATCCTTAGCTGTCAGTCAAGATTGCTTTTAGAAAGTTGATACATAGAGATGAGAACATAAATTATTAATGGATCATGGAAATGTTGGCCTGTCTGAATTTTGTCTAAGAAGTAGCTTCCCTTTTTCTCTGATAGCTTTTAGGGGGTCCATGTGTTCACCTTTTGTGGCCCCAGTACTGATGTGAGAGAGAGGGGCAGGGACTGCCACCTTGCAAGCACTTCCCTGTAGGCTGCTTCTTACTCTGTCATGTCTAAGTCAAAGACACCAGCCAGGAAAATCCCACTCTTCATTGGCATAGGAGCATAATTGTGGTGGAGCTTTGTTTTAGAGTTAACTTCCGTTTTACTGGCAAGCCCTCATTGCTTTTCATAATTAAGGAAGACCTAGGGTGTCTGGGCAGAGGAGAAGTCTGCAGAGATGTGGAAGATACAGTTAAGAAAGGAGAACTGGTACTTATCATACATGGCCCACTCATTCATGAGCCTCCACTGTCTGCAGAGCCATTGCGATGGGGTGGCATTTTGTTACTCCACTATTGTTCAGATTTCATCTTTATCCTCAGCTGGAGAATTTGTAAATTTGTATTGGTTAAGGATAACATATAAAGAGGCTTTACCTCAAGAGAGTACTTTCAGCCCAGACAGTATGGTCACTTCCTCCAGCTCCCTAATTCTTTAATGCCCTCTAGTAATCTTTTTGTTTTTGGTACCGGGGATGGAACTCGGGTCCTTGAGCTTGCGCAGCAGGCAGCAAAACCACTGAGCTAAATCCTTGGCCCTCTAGTAATCTTATTATCTTGCAAAATAATGACAGTTACAGGTAGGTGGTTGAGAGGAAGCTAACTTCTATTCAAACATCACATGTCATACTGAATTCTTACTCTCACCCTTTATTGCCAGATAAATTTTTTTAAAAAGCTAGTGCCACTTAACAGTGACAGAATTTGTGATCACTTCTTTTCACTTTTACTGAAGCTTCTTGAAATATTGTTATAAACCCAGGTTGCCTATTTAGGTTCTTTTCTATATTAACTTTACTCATAAGAATTTGCTACCCAGATTTCTTATTGCCTAAAAAGTATAAAATGGTAGTGGGTTATTTTAGTGGTTATTTTAGTGGTTATTTTAGATGCATTCTGAAGAATGGAATAATTTCATTTAGTATTCTGATATAACTAATTCAGATGTGATAAGCTTAAATAAAAATTTCATGGGGCCGGTGATTTAGCTCAGTGGTTTCGCTGCCTGCTGCCCAAGCGCAAGGACCCGAGTTTGACCTCGGTACCAAAAAAAAAATTTCATGTTTCTGGCAAACACCAGGTTGTGCTGGTCAGTTATAATGAGTCACATGCCTCAATGACATTTTGGTCAGTGACCAACTTCATGGGAATGTCATGGGATATGACAGTGGTCTCCTAATGTTATAATAGAGCTAAATACTTCCTATTGCCCAATGATGTCACAGCCATCTTAGTTTGTATAAGTTCATGTTGATGTTCACATGCATTTCTCCGAATGCATCCCTGTCATAAGTGACACGTGATGGTAGTAGATTGTACACTGCTTTACATGTTTAAGCAATGTGTCCTCCCTAAAATCCCAAAGACTCAAATTACAATTCAGTATGTACTTTATCCTCAAAATGTGATAAACAACCAAGTTGGGGTGCAATGTAGGCAGCAGGCTGGGTTCACTCACTTGCTAAACACCCAAGTCTTACATTCAGTCTAAGGGAAGTTTTAGATTTGTATTGTAACCAAATTCACAACTATGTTCAAGTCCATGGTGGGGGTGGGGTAAGGGAGGGAGGTTAGCAAGCATCAAAGCCAAATGATAAATCTGGAGAGACTTGTCTTGCTTTGTGTTTTATTACCCTGCATACTTTGGCTTTAGCCAGTCAGGCCATTAACTCAAAGTTTAACCTATGATAAGCCAAACCAAGCCATTTGCCTGTTAGTTTATAGAGACTTCAAAGACTGTTTCCAGGATATTTTAAAAAATGGGATAGCACTGCGAATTTATTGCAGATTATTTGGTTAAAAGGAAACCTGTAGCACTATACAAACAATATTAAACTAGAGTAGAGCCCAAATTCTCTTGGCAAGAAAACGGTAGTTAAATAAGAACTTTCAGTGACATGAAAGCTTTGTTGTGTACATTTTTTTTTGGTACCAGGGATCGAACTCGGGTCCTTGCGCTTGCACAGCAGGCGGTGAAACCACTGAGCTAAATCCCCGGCCCTGTTGTGTACATTTGACACTTCTATTTTCAGAATATAACAAAACAAAATACAGGTATTCATTTTTGTAACTGGTAAAAAAAAGTCTCAAAGCAAAGGATTTTTTAGTGTGTTTTATAATTTTAAGAAAAATGTCTTAAAATTTAATACCAATGGAAAGATAAAGTTTGGGGTTTAGAGGAAAAAAATTCATTTTTAAAGTCATAACTTGCTTCATACCAAGATTAAGAATCCATTTATTACACTTAACTGGGTTTTGTACAGCAAGGTTTTAAAAAAATAATTTACATCAAATTGCAAATATGACTTGGAGCCATAGCTGTTCAGTTAATGAGAAATGAAGATGAAGCTATTTTACATGAAAGTCTAACCCATTTTAGATGTTGAGTATACATTTTAGTTTGTCTTCAAATAATGAGATAGAACCACTAATGTTTTTTTAATCCACAGCAAGCATACTAAAAAATGTATGGCTAATAAATATACAAATACAGTGTCAGTACAAACCTTGCAAAATAAATAAACCTACCTTAAACACAAAACTACTTTTGATTTAAAAATATGATTAGGTTTTTGTTAAGACATCACAACTCTTATTCTAAATTCATTTTGTGAAAACCAGAAATGAAATAATCTGTGAATATATGACCAATAACCTTTACAAAAAACCAGCATCTTTTCTATATGTAAAAAGAATAGTAAAGAAGAGTGCATTATGGTACACAGTATAGTAACGATGTTGAATTACTTTTAATGAATCTTACAGAACTTATTTATATTTGCAATGCCCAATAGCTTTTTTTTTGGTACTGGGGATCAAACTTGGGTCCTTGCTCTTGTGCAGCAGGTAGCGAAACCACTGAGCTAAATCCCTGGCCCCAATGCCCAATAGCTTTTATTTCTCAGCCATAAAGTATATGCCTAAACTATGTAGTTTGCTCATTTTCAGATCTCTGTGCCTCTTGTTCCCAGTACTGTAGGTTGAGTCAGCAAACTCTGGCCCTTGGGCCAAATCCCACCTACCATCTGTTTTTATAGTGCCCTTGAACTAAGAATAGCTTTTACATATTTTAGTGTTGTTTTGCTTTTGGTACCACGGATCGAACTCAGGACCTTGCGCTTGCAAAGGCAGGCGTGGTGCCACTGAGCTAAATCCTTGGCCCAGTTTTTACATTTTTTAATGGATGAAAAAAATCAAAAGGATATTTGATATGTGAAAATTATATGAAATTCCAATTTCAGTGTCCATAAAGTTTCACTGGAATACAGCTATTTTCATTCACGTATCATCTGTGCCCTTTGGGAGAGCACGCAACTTAACAAAACAGTTACAACAGAGGCCATATGGTCTCCAACCCTAAAATATTTACTGTCTGGACCTTTGCAAACAAAATTATGCTAATCTTTTTTCTTTTCTAAGAGTTACTGCAAGCTTAGGGATTTTTTTCCAACTGCTGGCATTTGTAAAATGGCAGTTCCCTGTGCTTCATTGCTTTGTTCAGATCAGTAAATTGGTTGGTTGCTATTAACCCTGTGCCATTTCACTTTTCCTCAGCATGGACTTCACATCGTGTGAAGAAGGTTGCAGTTCAGAAGTCAATTTCCAGTTTAATGAAAATAAATTATGTTTCTTTCCACCATGTTCATTCTTGGCTTTAACTTCTTGCCAGAAGATCTTCACCTGTAACATAGTATACATAGGCTTATTAGTGTATTGAGCATGAAGAAGCAGAAATATTTACAGCCTACGAAGAGTTCTGAGTTGTTGAGCCAACCGAAATCCACAACTCTGGTGGCTCTGTTTGGGGGAATCTATTTCCTACAAACTCAGTGTTAGAACATGATGTTTCTAGGAGTAGAACATTAGAAAATTTTAAAAATCGCATTCAAATAAGTTGTTTAACTTTTATTATTTTTGAAACTTTATGATAATTTTAGAACAAATAACATGAAGCAAAACAGTAGCAAAAACACTGAACTTGTTATGAGCACATACAGAAAGACTTAAGTGTTCTTAGAAATGTCATCTTAAAGGAGGTCAGAATACGGTATATAAATACTTATAGTTTCGCCAATGGCTGTTTTTAAAAAAAAGCTTCCCCAACTCTTAAGTAAAGCTGTGAAGTTAACCAAATGATTATAAATGTCTGCTTGCTTCAGGAAAATTGAATCTGAAGGCCATCGTCTAGATCACTGCCGCTCTTCCTGCTCTCCTAAAATAGTAATGTCATCATGGTATGCATATTATTTTAAGTTGCATTTCTAGTAGAGTTGTATTCCTCTGTACTCATTGCAGTCTTGGAGCACACAGAGGGCTGCTTAAATGTAAAGTAGTACATTTCTGACAAATTTACCAGCCTTAGTGTAATTTTACTCCATCATGACTAAAATTACAATATAGACAAGTATATGCCATTATCACACCTGTAATATATTTGATGCTAAGTTCTGGGCATGAAAATAATATTTTAAATGTTGATTAGTGTCCTTATGGCAAGATCCCAGACCCACTGTTATACTGAGTCATTTTCTAAAAGTTGGGCTCATTGTTGGTGCTTAGTCTTAGAATTCATTTGGCTCTTACAGGAGACACCGATATCTCATCAACATTGGAGCAAACAAGAAAGTGAATTTGGAACTTTAACATTTGGGATACCAGATGTATCTCAATAGAAAGTGCTGAACTTTATCGGAGCTACAGGATTGCATGAATACTCACTGTGATCTGATGCTATGTGGTGTCAATTGTTGTCACAGCTGTGAGATTTCTTTTTGATGAGTCTTTTCTATAAACACTCAACAACCCTGAATTTCTTGGAATAGATGGATGTGCATATACTTTGGAGGGAGTGGTTTCCTGTATTTGGCCTCACTTGATATTTTGAAAGAGCCTTGTAAGTGTAGTCTGGGGCACCACTTATTTTGGGAGATGCTCCTTAAACACAGAAACATGGTCTCAGTGTGTTGGGTCTTCCTTTGGACTGGTAAAAATCAAATTTGGCTCGTTCTAGAAGTACCAATGAATTCTTTTATTGTGAACTTCTGCAGTTTGGCAACTTTTAATGAAAAATCCCAGACAATGATAATACAGATGGTGAAGCTGTGTGGTATAAGCATCAGTGTCTTCACTCTGCTGTTGATTTCTTGTGAGTTTGAATCCTAGACCTACTATGGAACAGATAAAAAGTGGGCTTTAATGATCTCTTAGGTTCATTAAGAAACTAAGTGAAACCAGGCACAGTGTCATGTGCCTGTAGTCCCAGCTACTCAGGAGGCTGAAGCAGGAGGATCATCTGAGCCCAGGAGTTCAAGGCCAGCCTGGATAACACAGCCAGACCAGTTTCAAAAAATTACTTAAGTGAGAAGTAGAAATATGTCTGGTTCCTTCATATGCTTTTATTCAGATTCTATATAAATAATCTACTTTAAAATACAATGATCTAGGGCCAGGAATGTAGCTCAGTGGTGCCACACCTGCCAGGCAAGCGCAAGGTCCTAAGTTTGATCCCTTGGACCGGAAAAAAAAAGATACAGTGAGCTGGATATTGTAGTATACACCTTTAATCTAAGCACTTGGAAGGCTGAGACAGGAGAATCATGAGTTTGAGGCCAACCTGGGCTACATAGTAAGTCCAGGGGAAGCCTGGAGTACATAGTGAGACCCTGTCTCAAAAAACCGAAAACAAATAAAAAACCTCAAAGAAAAACAAAAAGATAAAATGAAACTTACTCTGTATGTGAATATTAAGTGGCCTGGCAACACCTTAAATACTATATTTTCAAGATGGAGGTTATTATGTTATTTTGCTTTCTTTTTAACCATCATATCCTGGATGCCATATTTTTATATTTTTAATTGAGGCAGAAGGAGATGAGGTTGTTAAGCTAAATCAAACCCAGTTAGCCTAACATAAAACTAGGAATCCAAAGGATAAAAGCTGAATGATCTATAGATCCTTTGAAAAATGTTCATGTGAGTTATTAATAATTAAGATAGTCCTATGTCTGATGAAATAAGGCTTTGTGGCACTTTGGTCAAGTTGGTTACCTTCTTGGGGCCTTTGCTTAGTTATCTACAAAATAAGGTCTAAAATGTTAAAAGCTTACAGTACTCATGGGTTCAGCACCCTTGTCCTTTTTCAAGGCACTGTTCCCAGCAGCCTTTGGGGGATATCCTCGTGGAGAAGACACAAGATAATATACTCCCTATGCCTAATAAAGTATTTTCAGTTGAGCCTTGTCTCAGAAGGCTGCAATGACTTTGTATACCTGGTGAAACATGCTGCCCTTAGTCAGTGTTGATTATCCACTCTGTCACTGGAGACCAAGCCCCCCACAGGTTTCTCCTCCTTATTTTGGACACTTTCTGAGGCCACAAGCTGAGGAGGTAAGGTGAGTCCCCGGGACTGCTTGGTTGACTTGGTGAGCTTCTTGAATTCACTTGCAAAAGAGATGCCCTTTCTTTTGTCTTCTCGAGATGCCTGTGGCAAAAAAGAGTCTTTCCTTGGTTGAATGTTCTCAATCACAAAGCACTATGTCAGAAAGAGCCCTTTTCCACTTGTTTGTTTGGTAAATAGGGCGTTGGGAAGGACCAAGTGACTCTCAGGACTTCATAGCCACACAGTGGAACACATTTTTTCCCCCCACACAGTGAAAACAAAGCCCAACAATTTTCTCCCAACTAAATTTGACTAAGAACTTTCTTCTAGATTTTACTAGCTCCAAAATCTGATCATAATGTGATTATGAATATGAGATGTTTTATGAAAAGAGCAAAATAACTTTAAACTTTACCTGCACCTGCTCCTTTAGTTTAAGGATGAATTTCCCTGCACCTTTCCACTTGCTTTGGGCTTGAAACACACACTCCTGGTCCAAAAGGACTCGCTGTGAAGACTTGGGAGTAGAAGACTTCTTGTTGGGTGTGTCTTTCACTACCTCTTCCAAAAGCACATAGTCACCTGGATTGGGGTTGCTCAGGATGCTATAGGAATATTTGGCTTTGCATAAGGTCTGAAAGATAAGTTATGATCAACTGAATAAAGCATCTTCAAAATGTGCAATCATTCCAATTAAACTTTAAGGTGGAAAAATGGCATACAGTTTTAGAGATGGAGGGGACCTTCCAGATGTCATCTAATCTGTCCTTTTACATTTGTGTAGTTGTATCTTATAACACACTTTCTCAGATTATTTCACTTATGTCCCCAGCAATCTATGATTTATATGAGGAAGCATAAGCTTATAAAAGTTAAGCAGATTCTGGATGAGGAATCTTAAACTTATTAAGGTTAAGCAGATTCCAGAGTATGCACAGCTCATAAATAACAGAATAAAGGGCCGGGGATTTAGCTCAGTGCTTTCGCCGCCTGCTGTGCAAGCACAAGGACCCGAGTTCGATCTCCGGTACCAAAAAAAAAAACAACAAACAAAAACAGAATAAAGACTTGACCTGGATTTTCTGTACATACATCAAAGCACATGGACATGAAGGTCATGCAGCTAGTGAGGAACATAATCCTGCCCTTCAGGAGCCTCCCTGTCCCATAAGCTTGCCTCTATCACAGTCTTAGATGATGAAGGAATTTTAGTCACATGGTCTTTTTCATTGAGTACAAAAATATCTTTTGTTTACTCATTTATTCATTCATCAGATAGTTGCTGAGGGTCTGCTGTGTCCCAGATACTGTGCTGTACTTTGGGAAGACAGATGAGCAAAAGAAATAAATATCTGGAGTTCAAAGTCAATTAGAATGGCTAATTAACTAAATCATATAATAGAAACAGCAAATAGCACTTAGGTAGTGTTTATCATGTGCTAGGCATGGTACTAAATGTGTTACACTGACAGTCTTCACAATAACCTATCTCTAGGCTTTATCTTTTTGGTGAGTTACGGTATAGGATATGCTGGAGTCAGCTGGACTAATGAAATCAAGCACAATAGGAATAGTTGCACAGTGGAAATAAATCAGATTCCCCTGCCTCCAGCTAGTTTACCAGCACCCAGCACCGCTAAGGAACACATCTGAGCTCTTACTCAAGATCTTACAGTGAAAAGCAGAGCTGAGTTTGAACCTAGAGCAGTGATGGTGAACCTTTTACAGATCAAGTGCCCAAAGTGCAACCCAAAATCCTCTTATTTATTGCAAAGTTCTAACACTGTACTTAAATCTGAATACAGTGGTACCTCGGTTTGTAAAGTTAATTTGTTTTATGATTTTGGGGAAGATGGCTGCACTTGTGTTTGTATGGGGAAGATGGGCGTGGTTGTGTTTTTTACCTAATGTGGAGTTTGTGAACAGAAGCAAAATTTTGCTGAATGCTTTTGTTTGAGAATCAAATTTGCAAATAGAAGTGTTCATGAACCAAGGTATTACTTTACTGAGGTTTTAGTTTAGAAAAAACAACTGTTATCTGATGCATGGCTACTGGGGAGACTTGGTTGGCTCACATGCTGACTGAGAGGACTCTGCGTACCATAGGTTCACCACCACTGAACTACAGCAACCTGATCAAGGGTCTATGCTTTTGGCCATTGTACTTGTACATCATTTCTCAAATCTGTGTTTAATGAATGGAAATCATGAGGAAGCTACGAAGGAAGTGAAGAGTTCTTGGAAACAGTTCCTTGAAACAAGCCTGACCTAGTAGAGGAAAGAGGGTTTAGGTAGCTCTCCTGCTTGTCTTCTGTGATCCTTGAGAAGTGGTTATTAGGTATTGGGTCATGCATTTCTGGGACAATGAAGTCACCACTCTTCAGAATCATCTCTTAAATCCGTTATTATCAGTGCTTCCTAAAGAGCTAGACTCATTGTGGATACTAAGTATCTGTTGAAGGAGTGAAGGATAATATTTCCTAGCCTTAAGAGAGGATAGCTAGTGGGTCGAGTGTTTTTTTGTGGGAAAACAAAAATGATCTCAATTTGACTGTGATCATGGTTGTACAGCTCCTGCAAATATGCTAAAATCTACTGAATCATAAACTTTAAATTTGTAAATTATATAGTATATAAATTTTAGTTTAATAAAGCCGTTATTTTAAAGAAAAAAAGTTTTAAAAAAAGACATTCTACTTTTTCAGGTCCCTCTTGTTCTAGAATACCATTCATGAAATGAACTGTCATAGACATCTGCTTTGTCTCAGTAATTTATACTGACAAATGGACTGAGGTGAAGAAAGAATTTTCCTTTCCTTTCTTTTTTCTTTCCTTCTTACCCTTTCTTTTCCTTCCCCCTTTTTTTCCTTTTTCCTTTCCTTTCCTTCTCCTGTCCTTTCCCCTCTTCTTTCCTGTCCTTTCCCTTTTTCCTCCCCTCTCCTCTCCTCCCAGGGCCTTGTACATGCCACGCAAGTAACCTGCCACTGAGCTACACATCTGCTCCCCAAGGAGAGGCTTTTACCTGCTGAATGACATCCTGGGCAGTGCTGACACGGGGTGCTTTGATCACTGTTCTAGGTTGCTCTGGAGAAACATCATGCACTTGGACAAAGAAACTCTCCTCCTCTGAGCTCAAAATCACCTCTTTGTCATCTTGAACAATGCTTTTCTCTTTTAGAGTCTAAGTATAAAAAGAAAAACATGGAGTGATTGGTAAGGTGATACAGAATAAAGAAAAAATAAAGCAAAAATTTGAATTCTGTCTTGGTAATGTGGAAACAACTTTTTAGGTGTATACTTCATTCATTAGTTAATATTTTATGACTACTCTAAAAGGATATACCTGTCTTCTGATGAGAATGAAGCATTGTATCTCACTGCTGTTGATACTCTCATTAAGTCTGGCCCAGAGTAAGCTAGTTCATCTGGTCCTATTAGGTGCAGATTTTGAAAATCCAAGTCAACTAGGTAAATTTACAGAAAGAGCATTTTGCCAATTACCAAAAGTCAAAATAAAAACAGAGAAAATTGCACTGAAGAGAAACTCACTCATTCCCACTTAGATCTTGAGCATGAAGAAATGCTAGACATCTGAAATGTGAAACTGATGCTGAGCCAGACTGGAAGAAGAAAACCTACAGTGTAAAGGCTGAAATGACTGGAGGTAACCCACACTGAAACATGTTTTGACAAGTTCTCACTAATTATGAGAACTGATTATCAAGTTAATTTGCATTTGTTGAATTGATATCCATTGATCTCTATGGATACATACATATTATGTAAAGATATATGTATGTTATTAAATTTTTTCAAACAGTATAGGGGTAATGAATAACAAAGCAAAGAGTCTGTTTTCATCTTTTTTCTGTCATTTTCCCACATATACACAACCCCCCCAAAACCCACTGCTGTTAGGTTATCTTTTGAACCATTTTCCATGGATCATAAATACATTTTAGTGTGTGAATAAATATACACAAACCGCTGGAATTCTGTGAACTTAGTTATTGTGTGATTGTCAGATGGCTCCTGTCCTTTGTCAGCCCCCATTCTCAAAGGGGAGTAGTTTAAAGTTATCGTATGTAAAAAGGGCCACAGAATGAGGAGAGGCAAGGCAAGTAAAGAACAGGCAACTCCATTTCAGATGTGAGGCTTAGCAGGAAAATCCTATTCTCAGCATTCTCCTAGCATAATCTCCCCCAGACAAAGGTACTGAAATAGTGCTAGCTAGAAGAATTACAATCACTGTCCTGGAAGGGCCAGCTAGTCACGTGACCCAGAACTGTCCCCATTGATATTAAAATCAAGATGGAAAACTGCCACCAGGTGGTGCCATACTATAACCAAGACCAGAAAGGACTGCTCCTGGAGCTTGGGAACCATCCACACAGACCTGCAGTCAGTCATAGCTCTATTATTTTCATGAGTGAATTTTTTGAATCTTGTCTATTATATAATGGCGGTGGAAGGATGGGAGTTATCTATTTTTATTGAATAAAATTATACCCTCATAATATACCATCCTACAACTTTTCTCCCAACTTAAAAGACTGTGCTTATCATTTCACATCCAATTTTAGGAATCTTATTGCATAGTAGGATGTGGCTGTACAAGATGTCATTTCATTGTTCATCATCTAACTAGTCAGAGTGAAGTCAGAGGTAATTCACATGACAGAATTTAGAATTTAAATGTCCCCAAAACCAGAAAGCAAGAAATACAAACAAATAAACAAAAAGGTTCTAAGTTGCCACATGTTCCAACAGCAATGCATCACTTTTTTTTTTTTTGGTACCGGGGATTGAACTTGGGTCCTTACGCTAGCGAGGCAGGCAGCGGAACCACTGAGCTAAATCCCTGGCCCCAACAATGCATCACTTTTAGGAGAGCTCCTGAGAGCCTCACTAGAGTTTATTTACACTTAAGTTTTCAGCCACAGTTGAAAAGCAGAAGATAATAACAATAGCCCTCCTTTTTTACTTAGTATTTTTGTACACATTATCTACCTGTTTGACATAAATCAAATAGGGTAGTTTCTGTTACAGATTTTACAAATTAGGGCAGTGAGGTTTACAGAAGTTAGGTGATCTGTTCAGAATTATCTAATTTGTGGCAGAGCCGAGGATTGTCCAGTTGCAACCCAGAGGGTAAAACAGATCTTTAAAAATTTGGATTTTTTTCAGTGTGAACAATGTACCTAAACATGTACCTTGACTTAATACAATTTTCTTACATGTTTTGTATGTTCTTTGACCTATTAGTCTGGTTTTCAGTCTGTATATATGATAATTTTATAAGGTCTTATAAACAAATGAATCTGATGCTGGAAAAATAAAAGGGCGAAGAGGGAGGGGGAAAAAGAAGGGAATTGAGATGTGTTACATACATCTAGCCCCTACAGTGAATGTAATCATTATGTACTGCAAACATGAACTGATAAAAGTAAAAAAAAAATTAGGATTTTTTTCTTTTAGAGAGAGATGGCTTCTTCAGCTTCCACATGCTGAGAGCATAAATTGTTACCCCTTCCTTTCTCAAATCAGATAACTGAACAGAAAAGTAACACCTGTCAGAGAAATTATATATACACTGTTTGAGAGGAATATGCAGACGCTGGTCCCAAGAGGTCAGTGTCTATTTCCATATTCACAAGGGAGGGAAGGAGCACCAAGAACAGCCTGGGGTGAAGTGAAAGAGTTGGGGAGACAGTGTAAAAACTTTGTTGCCTGTTGTCTCATTGTATCTTCTTTGCTATAAAAATCCTTGCTCACCTGACCAAGGTGAGATGGAGATTTAAGGCAGTAAAAGACCCCTCTGTCGCCTTTGGAGCTAGCTTTGAACAGATCTTTTCCTTTTCCACCAAAGATTCTCTCCTGTGTTCCTGGGGAGCAACAAGTAGTACACACCTGACCAGTTAGTAACCTCATTTCAAACCCAAAGCAGTCAAACGGGGACATATTAACCATAGGAAGATGTAGTACCTGGTGGCTTAACAGCCCAGGAGATAAGAAAGGTATTGAGAGTAGGCAGGAGAGATCTGAGATCACAGAGAACAAGGTGAGAACATTTAAACTTTTTTTTTTTTTTTTTTGGTGCTGGAGATTGAACCTAAGGCCACATGCATCATTAGGTGAGAGGTCTACTACTGAGTTACATCCCCATCCCAAGGAACTTTTAATAGACTCTGTCATCAAATTGCTTAAATATGTTATTAGTTCCACAGGAAAAACAAATGAAAATATTTATAACCCAAATTTATCAACTATGATAGTGCCATCTTGCATTCAATAATTGCTTAAGTCCCTTATTCAATCAGGAAAAAATTTTTTTCTTTGTTTTTCATGCTGGGGATTGAATTTGAGACCTGCATGCTAAGCCTGTACTCAACCACTGAGCTACATGCCCAGCTTCAGCCAATATATTGATTACAAATCACTATGAATTAGGCAAACAATACACTAGCTATGATTTGTTACCTTTTGAAATATATTTGTCATTTCAAATATCTCTTCTCCACAAAGGTGTTATCAAGGAGAATGTGGTGTATTCTACTTATGAGAAAAAGCTTGTTAGCCTTCCCTTCTAATTTACCCATTTTTTTCTTCAAAGCATTTATTCTGCCTGTTTCATGAACATTTCAAATGCATGCAGGCACCCCTAAGCTTCTCAGTCTTTCTGGCATATGATGAACCTGTTGAGACCCTCAGTAGCTTAGTCATCTTTCTTCCTGCTCACTGCCTCCAGGGCTGGAGGTGGATAATCCACAAGGACTGACACAATTCCGGCTTGGGCAGCACAGGATTGTGGATAGAACATTGAACTGGAAGCTGTAAGACTCGAGTTCTTTCTACTTCAAACCCTAACCTAATTTTAACCACCCCTGTCTTTTTTTCTTAGTAGGGGGAATAAACCCAGGGGTTCTCTACTACTAAGCTACATTCCCAGTCCTTTTAATTTTGAGACAGGGACTTGCTAAATTGCTCAGGTGGGTGCTAGGATTACAGGCAAGTGCTACCACATCTGGCTTTGATTAGTTCTGAGTCTGTTTCCTTATGTGTCAAATGGTTTCCACTACATCATGAAATCATTCAAAATAGTTGATACTTGAGCTTTCAATTTTGTAAATGATTATGCAAATGTATAGTTTGAAAAATTTACTCTATTCTTTGATGCTGTCAGAAGACTTTTTTTATAAGTAGCCAGTTAACAAGTGAGTTAGAAATTTAAAAAAAACAAATTAAAGATGGCTTCCAAAGTCCAGCTGAGCCCTCTTATAATTTCTCATGAAATGACTATTATTAGAACTGTTTGTTCTAATGTTCTAGAACTGTTTGTTCTAATGTTCTAGAACTGTTTGTTCTATCTTAGCCATTCATACACCTGACAGAGAGAGGAGCCTGGGAAACAATTACATTTCTTGGCATAAATTAAGTGTCTTTTTATGGTTTGAGGCAAGGGGAGGGAAGGAAGACAGTGGCTCTGGGTCCCAGTGGAGATACTGGAGTTATGTTGAAGCTGCAGGTGATGTTCATAGTAATGAGAGTGAAAAGCTATACATGTTGGTAAAAATTGGCCATCATCTGCACTGTGTCCCAGCAAGCATGGATCACCAGGCACATTTTACCAGTCAAGCATTATTACATCCCAAAAGGAGCAGGCCAGGGCTCAGAACAGGGCCTGGCACATACTAGGTACTTAATGTGTTTAATCAAATTGTTGAATTGGCTTAGCTGCTTCATTATCCTCATATCATGAGGCTTGGTTGTCCATGCTGAAGCAATGAGTTTATATGCTATTTTTAAAATGGCAGTAAATTAGTTGAGGTCTTAACAATATGTTCAGAGAAAAAGGTGCACCACAGACAAAACTGAAGAGGCGCCAACTGATTTGGACATGGTGGTTGTTGCTTTTTTACTTTCCTGGGGATGACTGTGCTAATATTAGTGCACATGATATACATTTTTATTAAATCTGACTAAGGCTGAAGTATTATTCACTTTATGTGAAGTTATGGGCTATTTTATAGGAAATACTATTATTTTACTTCCAAGCCTTTACTTACTTATCTTTTAAAGATTAAGTATCCCATATCTGACATTCTTGGAAGCTGGGTTTTTCAGATTTTGGAGTTTTTTCGATTTTGGAATATCTGTAGAGACTGTACAGGTTATGTGTACAATGGTGTCCGTTACATCATGAGATCATTCAAAATAATGAGTGTCTGAGAACTTTCAGTGCTGTAAATGGTTATGCAATATATGTTTGAAAATGTTAGAGGTGCTCAGTCTGCATTAGATAAAATATAACAGGCACTAACTGGAAGGCAATCAAACTCAAAATGCAGAATACCTACAGCCACGGCATTACACAATACTTTAGTCTCCCTTTCTGAGGTTTTGCTTTCTGTGGCTTCAAAATCATGGTTCCAAAATATTAAGTGGAAAATTCCAGAAATAAATAATTTGTAAATTTTAAACCGAGGGCAATTCTGAGTAGTGTGATAAAATCTCTTGCTGTCCTGTTCTGTCCTGCCCAAATCATGGATCGTCTCTTTGCTCAGCATATCCATAATGGATTACCTACCTGCTAGTCACTTAAGAGTCACCTTGGTTATCTGATGAGTGCTTGTGCTTATATGGGTTTGGTTCTGTCCAAGGTTTTAGGCATCCACTGAAGGGCCTGGACCAAATTCCTTATGGATAAGGGGATTCGGCTATAATGTGGCCTCACAGCAATGTACAAATAAAATACTGGACCTACAGCTGATGACAAGCTCTTTCAACCTCTTGTTCCCTTGGTTTCATAAAGAAGGTTTTTCAAACTGAATTTCTGTAACTTAGAAATAACCTTTTGGATATGTACAGAAGAATAAAATAATTTCCCTACACTCACTTAAGAATAATAGAACCAAGTTGTAACTACAAGAAATTTGGGATATGAGGGAGGTAGTGAGTGGTGAGATGGTTAATCACATACTGTGTAGGCTGCTTCCAAGATGCACTTACTTCCTGCTGGGTTTTTAAGACAATCCTGCCCACGTAACCTTCTTCTGGAAACCAGCTGCTTAAAATTTGCATGATCTCTTCTTCTGGACCAATGACTCTCTGGAAAGGTTGTTTCCTGCATTCATTCTTTTCTTTCGATATAAAATACTTTTCTTCCATCAAAAAATAGTCTGTGGAGAATAATCTGGTATCTTGTTCAGTCATCAGAATCTAAAGAAAAAGCAAAGGCAAAAGTTAGGCACACCTCTGAGAAGTGGGGCACAAATTTAAATTCAAAACAAGCTTTCATGGCTGGGCATGGTGGTGCATGCCAGTAATCCCTACACTCAGGAGGCTGAGGCAGGAGGATTGCTGTGAATTAAAGGCCAACCTGTGATACATAGTGAGTTCAAGGCCAACTTGAACTACATAGCAAGACCCTGTCTCAAAAAACCTAAAAAGCACAACCAAAATGTAAACAATCAAAGCAAGCCTTCATGATGTTCGGACAGGTTTGATGTGGAATTTATATGTGAAAACTACTCTGGAGAGTTGCTTAATTCTTTTTGCAAGATCTAAGAATTCTCATATATCCAAAAAAGATTGTTTATGTCTACTCTGGGCAACAGCACAGTTTATTCATAATCCCCAGACAGCAGAACTATTTTCCCACTGCTGGAATGAGAGCTCTTACTGAATTAAAACCTTCAGGTTTCTCACTCCATGTATTTTGCCCTTGGTAATCTTGCTGGTCAGGACTGAGGGCAAAGGACCTTGTTCGGCTTTCACTAAAATAATCTTTTTCTCACATTGAAAATAATCATCTTCTCATGGAAGGTTCACAGGGCTGAATTCTCATTTGATCTAAGTTGCTGGGAATTCTCCTGTTAGTAAACTCCTGACAGTGTGTCTAACGGGCTGTTTTCTTTGTTAGCTACTGACCATGCACAAATGGTATGACTGAGATAAGGCTCTGGAGCCAGATGGACCTGGGCCTGAGGTTTGCTCTTAAGACTTCCTATCATGTCTGCAAAGTATTGGGGAGATACTTAATGCCTCAGATATTCAGTTTTCCCATATATACAATGGGAATAGTAAAAGTAACAATCTTTTATGTTTGTTTTATGACTGAGGCATAAAGCATAGCATAGATACATCATGAGAACACAATAGCCATCATTACAGTTACTTTTACTGATACAGTCTTTCCCACTCTTCTTGTACAGATTACTGGCAAAAGGTTGAACCTGGGGCCGGGGATTTAGCTCAGTGGTTTTGCCGCCTGCTGCTCAAGCGCAAGGACCCGAGTTTGATCCCTGGTACAAAAAAAAAGGTTGAACCTGAAGGGAGTAAAGGTCAGTTACAGTGAAGAAACTCCCTTTGTTGCCTTCCCGTGAGAAGTGGCTAGGTGATGACTGACAGCTGTCACCACCTGTCCTGGATTAAGCAAACACCTTTCTCCCCTGGCCCTTGCCAATGAGCCAATGACCAGAGTTAACATTTTCTGACTTAGAGGAAAAGCTGAATGTAACGTGTGGAAGATGATAGGAGCAGAAGATTCTCACAAAGCTCTGATCCCTCTACCCTGGTCCTTAAAACAGGTACCATGCTACTGATTCTATACGGGCAAGGCAAATGGATTGGTTTAAGTATGAACCACTACTCAGGAAAAATTCAGGACGTGAAGCTTCCAGGAGGTCAGTTGGGACCGTCACATGTACCAGAGGGTCAGCATCCTCAGGGCTTCTCCTCAATCCTGAGGACTTCTTTGCTTATTTCCATGGGGTGATAATAAAATAAGGGACTTCTTTTTATGGGTGGCCCATGGGAAATTTTCCTTATTTTACAAAACCTCAGCAGTGCTTTATGATAATGAATGCTAATCATGAACTGCCTAGTTAAAAAGCAAACAAACAACCTCCCCCACCAAAAAAATCCCAAAACCTTTAGCAGTAGCTTCTATTTGATAATTTATGAAATGTGACACCTAAGCCATTTTGACTCTGGTTAAGCTAATTATAAAATGTGGGCAAAATATTGACCTGCCCATAAAGATGTGTCTTCTGAACTATTTGTTAATATTCATATATGATTACTCAGTACATTTTAAATTCCCCCATGCATTATGTGATTCCAGCTACATTTTATCATGTACCCTAACTTCCAAGGGAGTTCAGGGTTACTCCCTGTGGTCCTTGCTCCCATTGGTCTACTCTTAAGGAGGAGAAGGAGTCCCATTGGTCTACTCTTAAGGAGAGATAAAAGAGTGTGCAAGGTATGAGGGCTGGTGTCAGGCAGGGATAGAGCTTCTAATGGGTAGAGAAAAGGAACTGCACATGGCTCAGCCTTCTCTCTGGGGAGCTGCCGTCTCTCTTCTGGATGTCGGTCTTTGTTCCTGGTCCTCTAGCTCTTAAACATCTTCTTAAGGATGGTGATCCTGCCTGCAGAAGGCCACAAAGATTCCTAGAGGGATCCAGAGAGAAGTGGCCCAACATAAGGGGGGTTAGGGTAAAGGGATCTCATTCTCTTGCTTCAGAATTGTCATGCTTCTTTGCACTGGAAGAGGGTAGGACCTCAAAGATCAGGATCAAGTGCCAAGGAAAGTGTACTGGTCCCCATGTTAGGCTACAAAGGTCAGAGATGTGTTCTTGGCCCATGAGGTCCATGCTGATGCTCTAGGAATGAATCTGAGCCAACTCCTTGGATAGCAAACAGACTTCATTCAGCTCATGGGCAAATTCCCACTGATGAGTGCTATGTTAAGAAGGAAGATGAAGCCCATGTCTAGGAGAGGGAAAAAATTTACAGGGTTAGAGAACCACCTGTTCTGGTTTTTATGCTGCTGGATTCCTCTGTTTTATGTGGCTGAAGGACATTAAAAATTCTTTTTTATGGTTAAAGTAGCTTGTCTAGTGGTACCAAGATCCCTCAGATCATTCTTAGAGTGGGTCTTGATGATGAATAACACATTTCTACATAATCAAAATGCATATCATTAACACAGACTTTTGTACATTTATGTTCATGTGTGTATGCTTGCACACACATTTACACACATATGTACATCCATTCACATTAGAAGCTGTATTCTTCTAACCATTGGAGTCTATGCGTTCAGGAGACTTGCCTGTTGGAGAAGTTGCTTTGCTTTGGTTCCTCCATTTATGGTGAAAACAGCAAAGGGCTCTGGACCTGGGACCCCATGTACTGTGACTCTATGAGTCTGCAAATATTTTCTCTCTTCTGTATTAAACATCTGTCAAGGAAGATCACATACTTTCTTATTCATCCTAAATAACATGATACAGGAGTGCTAGTACTTAGAAGTATGTGTAGGGACATGTAAATGCAAAAGAGAAACCATTTATAACCTGGTGCATGCTAATGTGGTACAGGAGGCAATGACATCTTCCTTAATAGTCTGGTAAGGTTATTTAGCAACACACCAAAAATTAATTTATTTTAAACCACAGTGTCTTTCTTCCTATCATAATTAGGGACTGATATTATCCAAAATGCATGTCAGTCCTTACTTATGAACTGATATTCTAAAATATCTATTGAGTCCCATCTGTCTTCAGGGGACTGGGCTAGAATTTTGGATAGAAGATGATAAAATGCTCGCCCTTAGAGAGTTCACCATCCAGCACACAAATAATAATAATGATATAAAAGTACTGTATAGAAGTTGCGGAGAGATGGGTAGGTGTGTAACTTTCTTCCAAATATGAAATCACTTATGGAGGGTTTACAGTGAGTCAGACAATATGCCTTGCCCTGGAGAATTAGGGGCAAAAAGGTCATTATCCTCATTCTCAAGGGCTCCCAAGTGAATGAGACAGCTAGAGGAGTAAGTGGACAATTTTAAGAAGCATGGTAAAGTCCTTAGAAATCCAGAGTAAAGGACCTATTCCTGGTTTGAGGGAAACTAGGGAGGTCTTCTTGAAAGTGGTATCATCTGAACTACATCTTGAAGGGCTCAGTGTGATATAGCAGATGAAGGAGATGAAATAGAAAATTGATTCAGTATGTGTGCCAGGATTAGAGGTGGCCTAAGGCAGGACATTCTGAGACCTTTAGTGAGGTCAGTGGCTCACAAGTTGGAGGGAGAAGGCCAGGGTTGTAGGCAAAGCAGAATTATGGAGACCTTTGTCTAACTGGCTAACATTTAAACTAAAACTGGCAAAATGGCAACCTGATGGACTGAACTGTTTTAGCATAGACATTTTTACTTTTAAATATGGGGTGGAGAAGAGAGGTAGCCCATTTTGCTATGCTTACACAATGTTGTTTTTATTTAACTAGTCTTAAAGATGTAGAAAGTAGCCAACATTTGCAAGAATCTAGATGTTCTGATTCTTTTGAAAAATCAAAAAATCTGGTAACATTGAATGACAACAAGTGGCTGGAGCTAACAAGTGGGTAACATCTGCCCCTCTAAATGACCCAAGAGCTCTCTACTTTCATGGAATCTCTGTCCTGTCTACTTACATGTATTTACACACCTTGTCACTCTCAAGCATTGGACCTTGTTACCCCCAAAGCAATGGAAGACCAAAGAAAGGTCTCTAGTGAGAAATGACATGATCACATCTAGGTTTTAAATAGATCTGTCTGGGAGGCCCTCAGAGAAGACAAAGGCAGACAATCCCCGAGGAAAGCAGACCAATTAGGAATTACTGTCTTAGACAGGTGAGAATGAATGAGGGGCAAGGTAGAAGGGATGGACAGAGATGAATAGATCTGAAATACACAAATGGGCTAGAATTGTCAGGTTTTAACTGGGGGACATAAGGAGGGAGAAGTCTGAGATGAAGTCCAGTTATCGGCAAGAGTGATGCCGTCCACCTTGACCAAAGGATGCAGTCCCCATGTCCAGGAACCCCAAGGAAGGCATAATGTGATACAATAGAAAAATAAATATTTGGTCTCTGTTCCTGGCTTCTGGCATATAGCGCCTAAGAACTTGGAGTCTCTGGAGTGATAAAAGGATCTAACTAGCCTTGCTTTCTTCTCTGGCCTTCTCTTGCCCCCACCAGTCAACTGCTTGAGATGACCTGTGGCTGAGAAAGTAGAAGTCATGATTAGAACAGTGGAACTTTCAGCACCACTGCCAGACCTGAGGGAGGGACATGGGAGGAGAATGAGCCAATGGTTTAACCAATGGTACCCACATAATGAAACCTTCATAAAACCTGAAATGATGAGATTCAGAGACCTTTGAGTTGGTGAACAGGCAGAAGTTCTGGTAGGGTGGCATAGAGCAGGGAAGCTCTTCCCCTCCCTTGTATCCTTTCTATTTGGCTCTTCCTGAATTGAATCTTTTATAATAACTGATAATAATATAGTACTTTCCTGAGTTCTGTGTCATTCTAGTATATTACTAACCCTAGAGTGTTGAGGGAACCTCTTGAATTTATAGCTCATCAGTCAGAAGTCCTGGTGACAACCTGGGAGTTGAGATTAGCACCTGAAGCAGGGGTAATCTTAAGACAGCTAATGCTAATTCCAGGTGGTTAGTGTCAGAAATGAAATGAACTGAAATGCAGGACACTAAGCTGGTTCTGGAGAGTAGGAGCAATGGTGTTGGAAAAGACATCACCCATTTGGTTTCAGAAGTGGTGTAAGTAAAAACTGTCAACTCATGGCATTTGTGGAATCTTCAGCTCATTGATATTGAGCACAACCAGCCAGGAGCTGGGGATGAAGCCCTACTTTGCCTCTCTGAAACCATCTGATTCCTGCTTTTTGGTAGCAGGAAGCCCTGCCCATTTGCGAAGTCTCTGTACCAGTTGGAGGCCAGATGTCCCCCACCTTGACCAAAGTGTTATTTTCAACCTTGATGGCACACTGGAATCATTTGGGAAACCTACAAAAAGTGGATGCCATGCTGGTTTACTTGGTGTGGTGTGTGCCCTGGTCATGAGGATTTATTTTTAAAGCTCCTCATGTGACACAAAGTTGCAGCCAAAGTTGCTGTGCAGTGTTAAGAGGAAAAGGAGGAAAACTCAAGAAAACAAAGTCAGGAGCAGAGAGAAGTAACTGACTTGTGAGGGCAAGAGAAGATCAGAGAAGAAAGCACGGCTGGTCAGAGGTAGTGGAAGCCGTCCAAGCTAGTGCCACTGCAAGCACAGAACACGTCTTTCCAAAGCTTATTAGGACTATGCTGAAGTATAAGATTGGCCAGACGATTAAACATGTAAAGGTGGAAAGCACTGGACACATTTTCAGATTTATTTTTAAAGAAGAAATATAATGGAATTAACCAGTTAATTAAAACAGTATTAAAAAAATTTTTTTTGACCACCTCAGCATTGGCTTTCATCCACTCTTGCTGCTCATCCTGTATTAGTGGAGTGAATCCTGATTCAGTGGTTCTCAAAATTCATGGGTATGGATATTATGTAGGAGACTAAGGAGTTATATATGTAAAGTGCTTGACAAGTGCCAAGTTCCAGCTATTATTATTACTATTTCCATAGCTACTTAATGACTTTTACTGACCACTTTGCTATACCACAAGAAAGCCCATCTCCAGCATGGCAGTCCCTGCACATATGCTGAGTAAAAGAGAACTTAATTACCAAACAGGCAGGCATGGTAGTGCCAGAGGAATTTTCTTCCATTCTTCTGCTGTTTATGAATAAACTAGAGATTTCCAAGACTTCATTGTGAAGGTTTCGCAGTTGAAGATGTCGATATCCTGGAATAATGAAGAATTGGGAAAGCCTGTTAACCATGTGCTACATATCTCTGCAAAGATACACACTGGAGGTCAGTGAATGATAGGTAGAAATACTACTTTAGGGGCTTTTTTTTTTTTTCACTTTTCTTTTTTGGTACCAGGAATTGAACCTAGGGCCTCGAGCTTGCTGGGCAGGTGCTGCGCCGCTGAGCTAAATCCCCAGCAGAAATAGTACTTTAAAATGGGCAGTGGAGTACCAGAGATGTAGCTCAGTGGTACAGTGCTTGCCTGGCAAGCATGAGGCCCTGAGTTCAATTCCCAGAACAAAACAAACAAACAAACAAAACAAAAACAAGACAAAACAAAAGGGCAGTGGGTGGCAATGGACATATGACCAGCAGGCACCTTTCTACTGGGAGAGTGGTGCTCCCTGAGGATGGTTTTGGGCCACCCAGTGGTAACTCATCCAGTACTGTTTCACTTTAGACTCAGATGGAAAAACAAAAACAAAAACACTCTCAAAAAGTAACAGGAAAACGTGATCATTTTAATACCATTGCATCTACTACTTCTGTTTTACTAGGGGCTAACATTCCATCTTAGAGCAGCTTTAATGGTAAAATATCTCAATAACAGGGGATTGGGTTAAACAAGTCATGGCGTGAATGTGTCAGTATAAGATGGAATATGTGGTCAATAAAAGTGGTAATGTAAAGGAGGGGGTGTAGCTCAGGGGCAGAGTGGTTGCCTAGCTTGTGCAAGGCACTGGGTTTGATCCCCAGCACCAGAAAAACAGTGGCAATGCAGATGGATAACTATTAGTAGGAAAAGTTTCTCACTATATAGATTAGAAAATGAAAATTATTAAGTTGCAAAATAAGATTAGTGGGAAGGTTATTTGTTCAAAACATATCTATATGCTCATGTGCTATTTACATGGTATAAAAATAAAGCCTGCAAAAGATATACACTTAAAGTGATTAGATTGGTGACATAGAAAGATGGATAATTTTTTGAGACAAGGTCTTGCTATAATAGTCCAGGCTGATTTTGAACTTGCTATGTAGCTCAGTTTGGTTTTGAACTCACAATTTTCCTACCTCAGCCTCCTGAGTGCTGGGTTTACAGCTGTGTGCCACTACTCCCAACAAGATGGATAATTTTTTAAAAATTATTTTGCTTCTCTGTCCTTTCTCACATTTCTGTAATATAACTATTATAGGCTGAAATAATAAATGGCCCACCTCCCACTTGCCATTCATATGTTGAAACCCTAAAGCCCAGTATCTCAGATGGTGACTATATTTGAAGATAGGCTCTTTAACAAGGTAATTAAGTTAAAATGAGGTTTTCAGGGTGGGTGGGCCCTAATCCATTGTGACTGATGTCCTTATAGAAGTAGGAAATTAGGACACAGAGAACCCAGATGTGTACACACAGACTAAGCTCATGTGAGGGCATGGTGAGGAGGCCACAACAACTTCTCAAGAGACCAAACCTGCAGACACTGTGATTTCGCCCTTCTAGTCTTCTGAGCCATAAGAAAATATATTTAACCCAGCAAATGAATATAATGATCAGGAGCTATGTGCAGGGTGGAGAAGAGAAACAGGAAATGAACAAAAAGTAGGAAACTATTGGGCATGGTGGCACATGTCTATAATCCCAGCCCAGAGGGAAGCAAAGGCAGGAGGATCAAGAGTTCAAGTCTTTCCTGGTCTATTTAGTGAGACTGTGCCTCAAAATAAAACAAATAGAAAGGACTGGGGATATAACTCAGTGGTAGGGTGCCCCAGGATTACAACCTGTGTACCACGAAAAAAAAAAAAAAGGGAGGAAAGTAACGTGTTTGTGGAGCTCAAAGGATAACAGTTTGAGTGTGGCTGTAGGTGAGGAGATACAAACTTAGAACTTTGGTACTCAGGGTAGGCTAGCATAGTCAGTACCCTTGGGAACTTGTTAGAAAGGCAGAATCTCAGGCCCCGCCCCAGACCTACTGAATCAAGATCTGCTTGTTATTATCAAGAGCCCAAGTAATTCCTATATTCATCAGAGTTCGAAAGTAATGCACAGGCCAGGTGCAGGAAGCCAAACATCCCTGGAGTGCCAAGCAAAGTCCAGCTACAAGCCAAGAGCTCTTACCTTTGCTCAGAATTCTTCATCTTATCCCTGCTCTACACCTAACCCTCAGCTTCCAATCCTGGACTTCTGTCAGGCACTGCCTCCAGCCATCGGTCATTTTTGCCACTGCCACACTCCAACTCTCCTTTCTTTTGGTTTGTTTTTCTTTCTTTACTCCCTGGTTTAAAAATGCCAGGGGTGGGGCTGTGCCTGCCTGGCAAGCTCAAGGTCCTGAGTTTGATCCTCAGTACTGAGAAAAAAAAATGCCAGAAGTACTGTGGGTGTGATTTGGGAATTTCATTTTACCTCGTTTTAAAGCCTTGAGTGGAATTATTCTCTGAGCAGTTACTGCTGAACTGTTGTTTTCCACAACTGCAAAACGAACAAATACAAGATCTTCAAAGTGAACTCGGAACAGAAACTGTTCACTCCACATGGGGTTCAGAGTGTTTCGATGGATAGGCTTTGTGCGGAAATGGCAGCTGTCCAGGGACATGCCCAGCACGTCAACTTCAATGCATGGACTTCCTGTGCTGTTACCAGGGCACACATTTTGGCCAGAGACAATCTGAAGGCAAAAAAAGGATCAAGGTCATGGAAGATAAAAAAGGCAAAGACAACCTCTAGACCTTACTACTTAATCTGCAAAGAACACTGGAACAGACAGGTAAATGATTAATGAAACTGTTAAAAAATAAAGTGATTGGAGAACCTGGAAGGAGGCTCCCCGCCACCATCCCAGGCTCCCAGGGCAGAGAAGCTCAGCTGGTCCCAGCACCTGGAAGGAAGCTCCCTGCCGCCATTCCAGGCTCCTAAGGCAGAGAAGCTCAGCTGGTCCCAGAGCTCGGAAGGAAGCTCCCCTGCTGCCATCCCAGGCTCCCAGGGCAGAGAAAGTGAGCTGGTCCCAGAACCCAGACGGAAGCCCCCCCCCCCGCTGCCATCCCAAGCTCCTAGGGCAGAGAAGGTGAGCC